TGTCCTCCACCTCTGCACAGGGCTTGGGTGATGCTGTTTTGACCTGTGGAGTGTCTGCCACATGCCAGACACTGTGCTGGCTGTTCTGGATCCCTGTACTCTTGCAGACCTCAGAGCCTATTCATTATATTTTGTAATTGGATAAATGGTAGCTTAGAAAAGTCCCAGGCCACTGCATGAGATCCAGACCCCAAGTTCTACTGGAATTCAGAAAGTGCCGGAGGCCAACTCAGATGACCCTATGTTCTCTGCAGGACCTTAGGCACGTTTCTAAGTATGGGGCCTCCATTGCAGAATTTGTGTTTTCCTTTTATAACCCTTAACTCCAAGGAGGGGGACCTATAATAACTGAGGCTTTTCTTGCTAAGGATATCCTTGACACGAGATCATTTAGCATTTCTTTTTCATTAAAAAGTTTAAGATCCAGCCGGGCTCGGTGGCTCAGCCTATAATCCTGCGCCTTTGGGAGGCTGAGGTGAGTGAATTGCCTGAGCCCGCAGGTTCGAGACCCGCCTGGGCAGCGAGACCTCATCTCTACAGTAAATCAAAAAATCAGCTGGGCGTGGTAGCGCGTGCCTGTAATTCTGGCTACTCGGAAGACTAATGCGGAAGGATCGCTGGAGCCCAGCAGGCGAGGCTGCGGGGGCCGGGAGCGACCACTGCACTCCAGTCTGGGCGACCGAGTGAGACTCCAACTCAAAAAAAAAAAGTTTAAGATTCTATCATTTGCAACCACGTGGATGAACCTGGAGGACATTATGTTGTGTGAAATAATTTAGACGCAGAAAGACAAATACCAGCATGTTCTAATATGTGGAATGAACAACAAGAACCACAAAAACTGCTATAATAGAAACAGAGATTAAAACGGTGGTTACCAGAGACTGGGGAGGTAAGTGGGTAGGGGAGGATGGGACGAGGGTGGTAACGGGTACACAGTTACAGTGAAATAGGTGGAGTAAATTCTGTGCTCCATTGTGCAGCAGGGTAACCATAGTTAATAATGAATTGTATATATCAAAATAGCTACAAAAGAGTACTTTCAATGTTCTCACCACAAAGTAATGTTAAATGTTTGAGGCGATTGATATGCTAATTACCCTGATTTGATCATTACACAATGCATACATGTAATGAAACATCCCATAAATATGTACAATTATTATTATGTGTCAATTAAAATGTTTTCTGAAGCATTAAAACACGCTTTATCAGCCGGGCTCAGTGGCTCAGCCCGTAATCCCACGCTTTGGGAGGCTGAGGTGAGTGGATTGCCTGAGTCTGCGGGTTCGAGACCCGCCCAGGCAACTTGGCAAGACCTCATCTCTACAATAAATCAAAAATCAGCCGGGTATGGTAACGCACACCTGCAGTTCCAGCTACTTGGACGGCTGAGGCAGAAGGATCACCAGAGCCCAGCAGGTCGAGGCTGAGGTGGGCAGGAACGTGCCACTGCACTCCAGTCTGGGCGATACAGTGAGACTCCAACTCAAAAAAAAAAAAACACGTTTTATCTAAACAACATTTCCAACTAGATTCTAAATCCACGATGGTGTATCCTCCATGGTCACCAACACCTGTTAGCATTTATCCTCTGGAAAACAAAAAGTTATCTTGTACTCATATCATGCAAATGATCGCTGGTAGAAGAGCAGAGAATAGAAGAGTTCCAGATACAAAAGATAAAGAAGCCCAGAGTCGTTAGAAACAGGAGCAGATGTTCAGAGTTTGCCTGACTCACACTCAAGGTTGCATAAGCAAGATTTCAAAATTAATCCTACTTTAGAGACCTCAAGCCAGCGTACAACGTTCCTGGCTGGAAAAGAAGAACTATACGTTTCTGGGTTTTTTTTTCAAATCTTTACCATTACTTGCCCTTGTATCTCCGCCTTCCCTTCCTGCAGGAAACTTTATTTCCTACTTCTGTACACAAAGTTTCTACCTTTAGATCTGTTTGGTTCTGTTGCTGAGAAGCGTGCCACACCAGTGCAGCTGGAAGAAGCCATCCACAGGTGAGTTGTGAGTGCTTTTTTCATTACTTTATGATTCATAGGTTCAAAGCATCTCAAAGCTGGAAATGCAGGGATGGGTACTCCCTGAGGGACTGCAAAACCTGTGCACTTGGGGGGAACGATCCAGATGGGAGGAAGCAGTGGAGGGTGGTGTGTGCACCAGGAGATGTTAGACAGACCCTGACGACAGTGAGGAAGTGCACGGTGCAGCAGGGATAGGGGAGGGTGGGCAGCACGTAACATAAGGACAACGCTCTGCCCAGTTACCCTTCCATGCACCCAGGGGCTCACTCTGTCCCTCCAAGCACTCAAGGACTTTAAAGGGCTAGAAATTTCTACCTTGAAAAATTTCCCTTTTCTAGTCTATATAGGACCATCCAAGTCCTGAACCAAAATGTGCCTCCTGCCTCAACTCAGGAGGCCCACAGAGGCAGAAGTGAGGAATTAATTTTTCTGAGAGGCAGTTTTCTAGCAGTTCTGGATGATATGTCCTGACACTTGAAATGACCACAGACCAGCACATTTCAGGCACCCTGTTGATTGTTCACTGCAGTAGAAGCCAGATGCCAGCTAGTTCTGAAAATTAAATTAGGTAACATGTGTACAGAGTTCAACATAGTGCCTGGAACATTCAACTAATGACCACAGTTGTCATGCTTTAGGCAGAGGCATTGTTTTTTCCAAACTTGATCAGGGATCTTGTTTAGTTTCTGCAGATTTCAAGAGTCTGGCTCAGTGAGAGGAAAGGCAAGACCTGTGCAATGGGCCAATCACAAGAGAAATGGAAGGATAAGTTATACAGATGTATGAAAACAAATTCACAGTCACTACCACAAATAAAACCAAATTCTTGGGCATCAGTCTCTAATGATGTTAGGTCTTATACATCGTATTATTATAGAATTGAATGTACTTATTTAGTAAACATTTATTGGTGTCTCCTTTAACCAGATACTATCATAAGAACTGGAAATAGAAACATACCCAGTCCTTGGGCTCGAGGAGCATGCAGTGCATAGAAGATAATGTGATAAGCACTTATGGAGATGCACAAAGTGTTATGAGAGAAGAATGATTTGACAGAGGATGCAGATTAGGCTTCACAGGGAAGGGAAATTTGAGCAGGTGGTACTAAAGCTCACTGACCATTTTAGGCAGAGAGACAAGGAGATGCAAAACCACTGAAGTGTGAAGGGAATAGTGAGTTTGGGGGAAATGGAGAGAATGCGGCTATGGCTGCAGCGTGAGATTTGGGATTGCTTGGAGGTGAGGCTGAGATGAAGTGAGCTTAGAAAAGACATGCTGAGCAGTCTGGATGTTATCTTTGAGGTCCCACCACATGAAAGTCATGGGGCTACTGGAGGTTTTAAGCTGACAAGTGCGTGGATCAGTTTCAATTTGAAAGAAGACCACTGAGATTAGGAACATGACTCGGGACAAGCCAGGAGCAAAGGAAAAGCACAACAAAGCAGGAAGTGAGGAGAATAAGATGCAAGAGTGTAGCAGCTGGGAGAGGTGCAGAGGGGATGAATCTGAGAGGCACGTAGGAAGTAGAACTCATGTGACACCATCGTCATAATAACACAGAGCATTTCTCTGTACCAAATGCTGTGCTAAGTCCTTATCTTCATCAGCCTTCACAGCAGCTCAGTGTAGTCAATATTTCCTATGCCAAGAAACTGATGCACGAAGGAATAATCAGCCCTAAATTACACAGCCTATAAGCTGTAGGCAGGATTCGAATTCAGGTCTGTTTGGCTCCAAAATTTGGCTCCTAGTTTTCTGAAGAGAAAGGGACACAGGATAATGCCAAATATCTTAGGTGATGGAGCAAATGACAGTAACCAAGATAAGGAATCCACAGAATGGAGCATGGTTCAGGGGTACCCAATTTGGGGTAGGTTGAATTTGAGGAACCTACATGATACCTGGTTAAGTGAATAAATGCATGGAAGGTGTGCAGTAGGCAATGGAAAATTCAATTCTGAAGTTTAAGAGAAAGGTGGAACTTGAAGATGGAACTCTGGGAAGTATTTCCACACAGGGCAGTTAGAACCCTGAGATTAGAACTTTGGAGAAAGGATAAAGGGGCAAAAAAGAGAGCCAAGTAGAGTGCCTGAGGACTCTTAAAGTGTGGGCAGGGGAAGGAGATGCCAATGAAGAACATTAATAAGCAGTGGTCAGACAGGGGCTATCTCCTGGGAGCCAGAAAGGATTTTAAATGGAGAAAGTTAGCATAAGGATCAAATGCTCAATGACAATGAAATTAGAACAAAACCAGGGTATTGAAAATTGGTTGTTGTTACAAAATTGGCAAGAGAAGTTTTGGTATGATAATGGAATCTTCAAGTTAAGAGGGCTGTCAGGCAGAATGCTTTTGTCTACAGGTAACAGAAAATGCAGTTCATAATGGCTTAAAAACAGGGATTTATTTTTCTCAAATAACAAGAAGGCAGAAGATGAGCAGTCCATGGCTGGGTTTGAGACTCAGTGATGTCGGGATTCTGCTTGGCTTCTCTCTGGTTCTCTTTCATTCACGTACCACGCACCAAGTCCTTACATGACACACTGAAAGCAGAAGAAGCAGGCAGAAGGCTCTCTGTGTCTCTCTCCTCAGGGAAGAAGAGCTTTCCCAAAAGTCCTCAGCAGACTCCCCTTCCACATTATTGTCCAGGTATGAGTCACAGGCCTGTGCACCACCTGCAAAGGAACTGGAGATAGCAAGCATCTAGCATGTTTTAGCCTTATCGGGAGATTAGGGCTTGCTGGGGAAGACAAAGAGTGCTGGGAAATGGCTGTTGGGTAGATCACTGGTGTCTGCTGCTAGGAATGAAAGGGAAGTCATGAACTGGCACACATGCTTTGAGAAGGAGAGACCAAAGACTGGGAGGTTGCTGAAGTGAGCAAAGCTATTTCGAAGATCAGGAACTGTGGTGTTTCTGTGGTGTGGTCATCACGTTGTTCTCTATTTACAGAACAGAGGAAAGTGGGTTAAACAGGGGCACGTTTCCCCACTTCATCCACAGCATGCTGTCCACACCTCACTCACAATTTGCAAAAAACATCAACGGGAGCAGGGAAGAAACCACCACGAGTTATGACTATGAGTACGGCGCACCCTGTGATAAAACTGAGGTGAAGAATATCGGCGTCCAGCTCCTGCCCCTGCTCTACTCGCTGGTGTTCATCATTGGCTTTGTGGGCAACATGCTGGTCGTCCTCATCTTGATCAACTGCAAAAAGCTGAAGAGCTTGACTGACATCTACCTGCTCAATCTGGCCATCTCTGACCTGCTTTTCCTTCTCACTCTCCCCCTGTGGGCTCACCATGTTGCACATGAGTGGGTCTTCGGGAATGCCATGTGTACGTTATTCGCAGGGCTGTATCACATTGGCTATTTTGGTGGAATCTTCTTCATCATCCTCCTGACAATCGACAGATACCTGGCTATCGTCCATGCCGTGTTTGCTTTAAAAGCCAGGACAGTCGCCTTTGGAGTGGTGACAAGTGGGGTCACCTGGGTAGTGGCTGTGTTGGCCTCTCTCCCAGGAATCATCTTTAATAAACAGAAAGAAGAAGGCTCTGTTTACATCTGTGGCCCTTATTTTCCACAAGGATGGAAGAATTTCCATACAATAATGAGGAACATCTTGGGCCTGTTTCTGCCACTGCTTGTCATGTCCATCTGCTACTCAGGAATCCTGAAAACCCTGCTTCGGTGTCGGAACGAGAAGAGGAAGCACAGGGCTGTGAGACTTATCTTCACCATCATGATGGTTTACTTTCTCTTCTGGACTCCATACAACATTATCCTTCTCCTGAGCACTTTCCAGATATTCTTTGACCTGAGCAACTGTGAAAGCACCAGTCAAATGGAACACGCCATGCAGGTGACGGAGACTCTTGGGATGACACACTGCTGCATCAACCCTGTCATCTACGCCTTCGTTGGAGAGAAGTTCAGGAGGTATCTCTGGGTGTTCTTCCGAAGACACATCGCCAAACACCTCTGCAAACAATGTCCAATTTTCTATGGGGAGACAGCAGATCGAGTGACTTCAACAACTCCTTCCACTGGGGAGCAGGAAGTCTCGGCTGGTTTGTAAAATGAGTGGCAGTTTGATTGCTGTTTATATAGGAGGATAATCTGTATATAATGACAAGCCTCAAGGGTTTGTTAGACATTACAGACCTGTAAAGCAGGTACCAGCAATCTCAGGATTGTATTACCAAGATTGACTGAGGTGACTCCTTGTGCTCAGGAAATATTCCAGAACAACTGCGAGTAGACACTTCAACTCTACAGAAAGCTCATTTTAGTTCCTGGAAAATGCCTCACTGCATTGTGCTAATGCTGCTTTTCCAGTCATCGTCATTTCTTCACTCAGCTTGTGATCCTGTCAATCTCTTGAAATCAAGGACCAGCTGGAGGCAGGGAAAGGAATGAACGGGCTCCAGATGGGAGTGAGAGAGAGCAGGGTAAGGGCCAAGAGGTGAAGGAGGGAGACGAGAGCATGGCTGAGCCGGGATGAAGACAAAGGTGAGCAAAAGGCTCACTCACTCAGCCTGGAGGTGTTACTGGTCCTTAGCCCTGTCACTCATGGTATTTAACTTTGAAGGCTTCTCCACGACATGGAGGGTTTGCAAACGGTAGTAACCTTCTGGGAGCTTTGGTTGAATCTGATGATCCTCTTCTGCCTACGTGCATGGCTTATTTTTGCTTTATTACAGTTTATCTGTGATAACTACGCATTCTACTTCAGAAACCTATGAAATTTCATGCCCTGTCGTTCACATGCTTCTTAGGCCACATCTCCCTATATAACAATTTGCTTATAAAATATGCATCATCTGTGATGAGCTAAAAAAAATTGTATAAAAGCCCTTGTTTGGTCTTTCCAGGGAAAGGAGAAGTTTGGAGATAGTGATTATGTGAAGGAGGTGGAGAACAGTAAGTCTCTCCACCTGGAGTGGAGAACAGGGCATGTGTGGAACCACTGTAGTAATGTCTTCAGAATCAACTAAGAGGAGAGGCTGGGGGACATGGGTAGTGCATAAAAACCCTTAAAGCCTCCTGTCTGGATCTAAGCTGTTTTGTTTCATTGTTGCTTCCCCTGCCTTCCTGCCCCTCTTGCCCCAGTCTGTTTCCCTGCAGCCTCCGTCACGTAGCTCTTGGCTATACAATGACCCTACTCCAAAAACCAGTGTGTGGAGGTCCAGGAGAGAGACCTGGGGAGAATGTGAAGAAATCTACACAAGAATCCCCTGATGGTCACAGAAAAGGAAAATCAACTGGTGGGGCCCCTGAAGCAAGTTCTCAGAGCAGAGAAGAGTCTGAAGACAGAAGTGTCAGATCCCTTCTTTAGAAACAGCACATCTGGCCTATAAATCTCGGTGCCTAAATTACCAGGCAGGAAGGTCTCAATAAAGAACACTCCAGACGGGTTAGAAAACAGTATTTTCCTAACTACCTTCCAGCTACTCATTTTTGGATACAGGTTATAGAGCTCAGACTTTTTTTTTAATGGTAAGAATAAAATTTAAGCTGAAAACTGCAACTTGCAAATGTGGTAAAGTATTAAGGGTTGCTATTATGCCAAGCCTGAAAATACTCTGTAAATCATAGACAATTCTGGCTTTGAGCTTTACAGTTTGGAGCACGCAGTATGTTTGGGAGACTGCTCAGTTGACCCAAACATTTGCCGCTTGGCTCGGAGTCAAAGGTTCGTGGTCTGTAGCTTGTTGGCCTATGGTGATACAGGGTGTAAATAATATTGTCATTTGGATCACAGGACACACTCCACAGCTGTCATCTCAGCTGAGTCTTCATTTTCTCGGGCTTGCTGCTAAAAGTCTTTTTTTTTCTTGGTATCATTATGAAGTCATGGATTTCATCATATTTGAGGGCTTCGGTGCTCTGCAATGCCCTTGCTGATGCTCAGATTGCCCCCTGTGTAGCTAGTGGGAACTCCTAAATCAAGTTGGCTTCTAGTAAAAGCTTCTAAACCCTGCTTGTAAAGAAAGGAAGTTGAAGAGGCTTACTTAAGTAATCAGAGACTTTCTTCTTAGTTGAGCCAAGTTAAGAATGTTCTTACACGTTACCCAGTGTGTCTCTGATCTGATGCAAGCAAGAAACACTGAGCTTCTGGAACAGGCAACTTTGGACCTGGTTGTTGCTATGATTCTACTTTCTGGCCACATGGCTAAGAAAGGTCTCAAAAAGAAGTGGGGACGGAGGGGACGCTTCACCTTCAGATATTTGTATTATCCTAATGAATGCATAAAATTTTATTTTGATGATGATGCGATGTAAATCCTGTTTTTAAAAACTATGATTTGTAAGATAAACCAATGCTCTAACTATGTTGATTTAAAAAAAAATAAAAGATAACCATCTGTTTGGTCACACTGTGGTGTGGTGAATTCTGCTTTATCCGCAACTTTTCACTTCTTCCCCTGTGCAATTTCACACACCTGCCCTTGCAGTGGGACTTGCAGCATGCCCTACAGGTCACCCGCCCTGCCCCATCCACTGCTGGCTCAGCAGGAAAGCCCATTTCTGTTTATGCCCTTCAGTCCACAAACCCTAGTGAAAAAGAAGGTGCCAGAAGCAGAGCCAGGGCCACAGCCACATGTAACAGGGCAAGAAGCCCGTGCTTATTGTGATTAGCCACTGAGCTTTGAGGGTTGTTTGTTAAATGGCACAAAAGCTGATTAACACACATGATATCCAGTGACTTCATCAATAAAATTTGGAGAAGAGCCATTTGTTTTTCATCATGAAATCCAATATGGCAAGGATGCCTGAGGATCTATAATACCATATGCCAGACTTGGCTGGAAACACAAAGATGGACGTTAATGCCTGTGCCCTTTAGACATCCAAGTTCAGGGTCTGCTGAGGGGAGGAGTTGGGGAGGATGGTGTCTGCATAATTGTAACACGTTGTGCAGAGTGCCGGAATAGAGGTAGCTGTGAAAATTTCTGAGAGCCCAGAGGACAGAGAGACTAATTCAATGATAGTCCTGCATCACAGTAACAATAGCTATAGCAAGATTTTGTTGTCGCCAAAGAAACTACCATGTAAAAGTTGCCAGCCATCTCCCTTTCTAGAAGTAGAATCTTCAAGTCTCCTTTATTCTGGGGATAAGTGAGTGGGCTGTTTGAGTTAAGCCAGTGTAAGGTAAGGAAATGTCATCATTCCAAGGGAGGAGTGTCTGAAGTTTTTTTGGTGGAGGAGGGGACTTGCCATAGCCCACCTCACTCTACTACCCATGATCTGTGATGTCCGCAGCAGCTGGGGAGGCTTGAGCATTGTGCAGAGAGGCTCTGCAGCCTCTGCAGAGTACGACATTCAGACCTTATTCTTCCTCTTTTGCTTTTGCTCATTACAGAAACTTCCCTGATAAATTGAAATGGCCTCTGGTGAGATTAGCCAGCAGGGAAAACCATGAAGGGCCACCCAGGTGAAACACACCATGAGAGAAGAGGAGTCTGTGCTGGTGAGCTGACCTCTAGAAAGTAACTCACAAATTGAGGGGAGGAGACTTGTCCTAGGCATGGGAGTGGCAGAGGCTGGAAATTTCTTCAGACACTGCCATGTTGGCACTACATGTGTAACTTTGAGAAAGTGTGCATGTGCCTGTGTGTCTGCAAGAGGCCTATAATGCAAGGCCTATAGCAATGGAGTCCCCATCCTGGGGCACAGTGAGATGCAAGCCAAGGATTATGCTGGGAGTGGTCTCTCGCACCAGTCCCTTGAGAAGCTCTGCTGGCCCAACAGCCCAGCAAGCAATGGTGAGGGCATGGAACAACATCTTATTGGTTCTTCCCCCTATGAAACATCCTAATGGCATCAGCTCACAATATAAAACAATTGTATTTCTCTCCAATCACTGTTTCAACTGGACCTTAGGGTCGACTGGATTCTGAAGGGCCTTGTCTATAGGAGGGTGTGCATTCTATCCCTATGCCCCCTCTGCTCTGCCCCCCACAGCCCATGGCTAGTGGTCTGCCTCAGGAAGACCTCCTGTATTCCCCTCTTCCATGCATGGGCTAGCATTGAGAAGAGGGGAGGAGGATAAGGGAAAAGGAAAAATATAGGCAACTCTTGCTTTATTGTGCTTCACAGACATTGCAGTATTTACAAATTGAAAGTTTGGGACAACCCTGTGTCAAGCAAGTCTAACAGCATCATTTTTCCAACAACATGTGCTCACTTTATGTCTCAGTCACATTTTGACCATTCTCATACTATTTCAACGTTTATCATTATTGTTGTATCTGTTATGGTAATCTGCGATCAGTGATCCTTATTGTTACTATTGTCATTGTTTTGGGGCACCATAAACAGCACCCATAGAAGATGGCAAACTTAATAGGAATGTGTGTGTTCTAACCGCTCCATCAACCAGCCATTCCCCATCTCTCTCCCTCTCTTCCAGCCTCCATATTCTCTGAGACACAACAATACTGAAATTAGGCCAGTTAATAACTCTGCAATGGCCTCTAAGTGTTCAAGTGAAAACTCCCACATCTCTCACTTTAAATCAAGAGCTAGAAATGATTAAGCTTAGTGAGGAAGGCATGTCAAGACTGAGACAGGCCAAAAGCTAAGTGACTTGCACCAGTTAGCCAAGTTGTGAATGCAAAGAAAAAGTTCTTGAAGGAAATGAAAAGTTCTACTCCAGGGAATACGCGAATGAGAAGAAAGTGAAACAGCCTTATTGCTGAGAGGGAGAAAGTTTTAGGGGTCTGGATAGAAGATCAAACCAGCCACAACATTTCCTCAAGCCAAAGTCTAATCCAGAGCAAGGTCCTAAATCTCTCCAATTCTATGGAGACTGAGAGAGATGAGGAAGCTGCAGAAGAAAAGTCCGCAGCTAGGAGAGATTGGCTCATGAGGTTTAAGGAAAGACACTGTCTCCATAACATAGAAGTGCAAGGTGAAGCAGCAAGTGCTGGTGGAGAAGCTGCAGCAAGTTATCCAGAAGATGAAGGTGGCTACACTAAACAATAGATTTTCTTATTTATTTATTTATTTATTTATTGTAGAGGTGAGGTCTCACCAAGTTGCCCAGACTGGTCTCGTACCCCTGAGCTCAGG